TTCGAACCTGAGACCTTTCAGTCAGCAAGTTCAGCGGCTCAGTGCTTTGACCCACTGCACCACCGGGGGCTCCTTAAAGCCAACATAACTAGATCCAAATATGTATGTAAACCTCCTCAGCTATTCCTGATTTTCTTCTGTTGCTGTTCTTTTCACTTTCCCCATGTGAACTGCTAGCATGCAGTATCCAGAAGATTACCACTGGGGGCCACAAAAACTACTTGAGGGTCATATGTGGCCTTTAGGCTAGTTTGCCCATCACAGGACTGGGGCTTTAACACACCTAGCCCTGGTTGCTCCACTTTTACCCTGAACCACCGTAATACATTTCCTAGAATGCAATGTCTTCTCCTCTGCTGAGAGCAGGTAGCCCTCCTGAGATGGAGTGGCAGGGTTGTCAGGTCTGGTCTGTGTTGGGTCCAGGAAAGGCAGGTTTGTTAGCAGTCAGGGCCTGGCAAGAGCTATGGCCTCAGGCATGTACTTATTAGATATTATTGTTGAGCGGGTACATTTATTCGTTAATATATTTATATACTGCTTTTCTCACCCCTGGGGGGACTCAAAGTGGTTTACAAAAAATAATGGCAAAATTCAATGCCTTACAAAAACAAAACAAATAATAGACAAACAGCAAATTATTAAGCATAAAAACAATAGGACAAATTCTCCATAAGATAATTTAAACAAGAAGTATAAAAATTTAAAGCACCTAATAAAAACATTAAAATCACATGATCCAAACTCATAGACCAGGCCATTCCAGATGTCGACTACACATATTCCATATTTACTTCTTGTACTGTGTTACTTTATTAGTCAAAAGCTTGTTCCATAGCCATGTCTTTGTTCTCTTTCTAAAGGCCATGAGGGAGGGCACTGATCTAATCTCACTGGGGAGAGAATCCCACAGTTGGGGAGCCACCACTGAGAAGGCCCTGTCTCTCATCCTCACCAACTGCACTTGCAAAACAGGTGGCATTGAGAACAGGGCCTCTTCAGAAGATCTTAACCTCCATGATGATTTGTAGAGGGAGATACATTTGGACAGGTAAGCTGGGCTGGAACTGTTAAGGACTTTGTAGGATAAAGCCAGCACTTTGAATTATGCTCGGTAGCAAACTGGCAGCCAGTGGAGCTGGCGTAACAGGGGAGTTGTGTGCTCCCTGTATGCCGCTCTGGTGAGAAACTTGGCTGCTGCCCCGTCGGATCATTTGAAGCTTCCAAACGTCTTCAAAGGCAACCCCATATAGAGCGTGCTATTCTCTGTGTAACAAAAGCATGGACCACCTTGGCCAAGTCTGACTTCCCAAGGTACCTACATCAGAGACACAGGGACAGGACAGGGGATCTAGTTAATCTAGGAGAGCGTGTGTGCAAATTAAACACATACTGATGTGATCTTTTGATGACAATTGTGCCTGGCTTTTCAGCCTACCCTCAAACTGTCCCAATTTGACAAGGGCAATCATAATTACTCATCTGTTGTCCCATTTTTTCAGCTGCTTTTAAAATATGCTAGTTTCTTCTCTTCCCACTTTTCTCCTTCATCCCCAGTTTATCTCAGCCATTATAAACTGAGTTCAATGTTCAAAAGTAGTTTGTAGCCCATTAACTCAATGTGGGAAGAGGAAAGGGTGTTGTCCTCCTAGAGCAAATAATGCTTGGCATTCCATGTGTTTATTGCTTTCTTTAAATGTTTTTAAGGCTGACTTTCACCTTCAGCTTCTAGGTGCTGATCTGATCTTTAAGGTTCACATTGAACAATAGATTCCCAGGATTAACATGCTTTTCTTTTATTTGGGCGCAAGGTGTTTGACTCAAGGCTCTTGTAGTTATGCTGAAGCTATTATATTTAAAAAACTGAATAGGTTTCTAATAAATGTGTGGGAAAGTAACATATTAGTACCATATAGAAGATTTCCACAAAAATATTGATTTCCTGAGACAAGAAATACATGTCAAAAAGATTTTGTGGCAGTTGTAATACCTATAAATGAGACATGGGCAAATTTCGGCCTTCTACGTGTCTTGGACTTCAACTCCCACCATTCCTAACAGCCTCAGGCCCTTTCCTTTTCCCCAAGGCTATTAGGAATGGTGAGAGTTGAAAGGCCCAAGTTTGCCCATGCCTGTATACACCCTTCACATTCTGAATAGTGTATGGAAGCTTTGATATCCTGCAACCAGAAAGAGGGTTTTTTTGGGAACTGGGTTGTTACATCGGCCAGTCATCTCCGCTAGAGGGAGTGTTGTTATACCTCTTATAGAGTACAAACAAGAATCTCACAGATTTTCTGAGGCTTTATATGGAGCTTTTAAAACTTTCAGTGACTGCCTTCAATTAACTTTCCAAAGAAGGAAGTCTCCAAGGCCCAATCTTGGAAATTTAAAAGGTCTGGGCTTGCTCCTGCTCTTATTTAAATTCCTGTCAAAGTTCCCATTGAGTCCAATTATAGGGAAGAGTCTTTGTTTCCATAGTAATACTACTATATTGCTCTATATACAAATGCAGATACATCTCAAAGATTTGAAATTCATAGATCAAAAAGCTACATGACTGAAAATTATTTTTTCTGATTATTCCATATAAGGTTTTTGTAGACAGTTTTAACAGTGCTATTCCCTAAAGGCACCCGATCCTAGCTACTACTTGAATGGGAGATTGCCAATGAACACTAGGTGCTGAGGAAGGAACTAGTAAAGCCATCATTGGGTACGTATTATTTGCCTAAGAAAACCCTATGAAATTAATAGGGTTGCCATAAATCATCAGGCAACTGGAAGACAGATACATGCATCTGTTTTATGAAGTGAATTTTGTGAATTAAATTATATGCTCATGACAATAAATGCTTTAGGATGATGATGAAGGAGAGGATAGCTTTTGCTTTTGAAGCTTTTTCTAAATCACATTTTTATTTGGTTCTCCCTTTAGTAGTCCAAGGAGCTCCCGGTGGCACAGTGGGTTTAACTGCTGAACTGCTGAACTTTCTGACCAAAAGGTCAGTGGTTTGAATCTGGGGAGCAGGGTGAGCTCCTTCTGTTAGCCCCAGCTTCTGCCAACCTAGCAGTTCAAAAACATGCAAATGGGAGTAGATCAATAGGTACTGCTCTGGTGGGAAGGTAATGCTGCTCCATGCAGCCATGTCAGCCACACCTTGGAGGTGTCTATGGACAACGCTGGCTCTTCAGCTTAGAAATGGAGATGAGCACCACCCCCCAGAGTTGAACTCGACTAGATTTAATATTAAGGGGGAACCATAGTAGTCCATCAAAATAAGACTTGATGCCAACGTTTTCTATATGTTTTCTATTCTGCCTCCTATTTCCAGAAAGCATGGCTTTTTCTATGGAACATAGCAGATATTACTGAAAGAATCTCAATTGTGGAGATTCAGTAAACCTAGTTAAAGCCAAAGGAATCATGAAATGTTATCATTCCTCAGGGCAACTGCAGTAGTAGATATGATTTTAAGAAATGGTTGAAAAGACTCTGTACAGTTGAATGGTCATTATACCATTTAAATATGCATATCTTTTGTCATGCTTTTCAAATGGAAAAAGCAGCAAGAGGACATTTCATTAATTTATTCAGCGGTTTTTATGAATAATCCAGATAAGCACATATTTTTCAATGATAAAAGTTGACAACCTTCTATTTCACTATACACATCTGGGTCTCACAACCACTTCACTAACTGTACAAGTTACAAACACAACAATATGCACAATTACAGCCATCTGATACTGCTTTAATTACCATGGCACCATCCTGGCAAACTCTGGGATTTATAGCTCCCTGTGGTATTTAAAATTCCAAAAGCTGCAGTGCTGGAGTTTAGGGGAGTGCACTAAGGAATACTGACAACCTTGCTAACTACAAATCACAATATTCAATAAGACACAGCCATAGCAGTTACAAGGATATCATCCTAACTGTGATCATGTAGAGACAAAACACTCCAGGTATAGCCTGTCAAGGTAAGCACAGAAGGTTAACAAGTGTGGAATGTGGATAACATTTTCCCCACCATTAACAATGTGCCCTGGAAGCAAGAAAAACTTTGGGAAGAATGACTTTATATTATTCACTATCTTGCCTCATTCCTGACTCATATTTTTCCCCTTAACTACAGAAGAATGAAAGAATATACGATGCCCTCCTTGGTGGGAAGGAACTGCTGCAGAAGTTAAACATTTCATGAAGGCAATGTTTTAGACAAGGATAGGGTAAGTCATATCTCAAGAATCCTCTCTAATCCCTGTTATTGTATTCCAGATGAATGTCAGGAATATCTATACCAGTGTTTCTCAACCTGGGAGTTGGGATCCGGGGGGGGGGGGGGGGGGGGGGGGGGGGGGGGGGGGGGTGTGAGGGGCCGTCCAGTGAATTTGGTCCAGGGAATGAAAACAGTATTTTCTGTTGGTCATGGGAGTTCTGTGTGGGAAGTTTGGCCCAATTCTATCATTGGTAGGGTTCTTTCATTGTAGATGAACTATAAATCCCAGCAACTACAACTCCCAAATGTCCCCCCCCCCCAAACTCCACCAATGTTCACATTTGGGCATATTGAGTATTGGTGTCAAGTTTGGTCCAGATCCATCATTGTTTGAGTCCACAGTACTCTCTGGATGTAGGTGAACTACAACTCCAAAACTCAAGGTCAATGCCTACCAAACCCATTATTTTATGTTGGTCATGGGAGTTCTGTGCGCCAAGTCTGGTTCAATTCCACCATTGGTGGAGCTCAGAATGCTTTTTGATTGTAGCTTAATTATAAATCCTAGCAACTACAACTTGGAAATGACACCCCCCCCCCCCAACCACCAACAGTAGTCAAATTTGGGCACATTGGGTGTTTGTGCCAAATTTGGTTCAGTGAATGAAAATACATTGTGCATATTTACACTGCGATTCACAACAGTAGCAAAATTCCAGTTATGAAGTAGCAATGAAAACAATTTTATGGTTGGGGGTCACCACAACATGAGGAACTGTATTAAGGTAGGAAGGTTGAGAACTACTGATCTAAACCAAACCTTTACTGTCAGATAATTCCCCACCCTTCCCTATTAGGGCAAGTAGGAGAAGGCCTTTGAAAAAACCATACAATGTGATTTTGCAACTCAACCTGTCCCTTCAGTGGAAAGTACCTTGGCTGTGACGTCACCTATTAAAAAAAGGCGTTATCTTTCGGCAAGAATCAGTTTGCAACCAGAGCCAGAGTGCCTTTTTCTTGGACTGGCTTGCCGGGAGCCATAGAGGAGAAGGGACAGCCTGCTTGAAGAAGGGGGAGAAAAGAAAAGAAAGGAAAGGGGGAGGGAGATAAAAAGGCATGTGGTTTCATGGATGCCTTCCAGAATTGTGCCTCTGAGTGTGTCTGTGTGAGTGTGGAGGGATGGTGGGAGAGAGGAGCGGCTCATGTATGTGAAAGAAAGAGTGAGTGAGAGTGATTTCCATGACAACTGACCTCGCCAGTCTGTGTACTCTCTGGGCGATCATTTGTGCCTTAATCTCTGCTGTGAAAGGTCATCTGAAGGAGCGGCGGGACCCACAGCAGGCAGCAGGCTCCTTCTTGCAAAGAGCCTTGCAAAGGGGATTCATTTTGGACAGTGCCTCAGCTCATAGGACCAAGTTTTTGTCTGGGAAATACAAAAGCAAGCATGGCGGGGAAAGGCAAACCCTTGGTGTGTCAGGTAATGAAACCTTTCCTCTTCTTGTTTGCTTCTTTCCTCTCTCTTTCACTCTCGCCCTTCCTTTTCTTTTCGGTTGTGTTTCTTCCTAGCTGATTCTGGAGCAGAAGTTAGGCATCTCAACTCTGAGGAATGAGGTCATGGCTGAGTAGTTGGATTGTGTTAAGGAAAGGGGGAGGAAACGGTGACCTCCCCCCACCTCACAATGTGTTTTAAAGAGAGAGAAAACCCTCTTTGTTGCATCTTCCACTGAGTTTCCTTTTGTTTCCTTATATGAAGCATTCCAACAAATGAGTAAGAGAAACTTTCAGGGAACTTTTCAGAGATATGCAGATACCAGTCAGTTTAAAATCCACAGCAGTGATGTTGATTACATTTAGGGTAATTATTCTGTTGCCAATGTCTTGAGTTTTTGTTAAGAGTTAGCCCCATAGAAAAACATTGTATTTACTTCTCGCAGTTTTGTTTGTACTGTGAAGGGTGTACAATAAGGAAATTTTGGGCTAAACAAATTAAGCCTGCATTTGGCATCTATCCGCTGAAGAGGGAAGATGGATGGATTGTTTACTTCTTTCAACTGCTTTGTTAGTGAGCTTGCTTTTCCAAAAGTGTATAGAATGAAATGCCGCAGAACAACCCATTGGAGAGACATTTTTGGAACCCAGCCTCTTGCAGGAAGAGTTTTAATACATGTTTGTTGCTAATGTGTGGTTTAAAAGAAAAGTCATTCAATAGAAAAATTAAGTTCTTCTGCCCATGAGTTTTTAAGCATGTCTTCCAGAAAATCCAAACAAATAGTCTGAATTATTAAAGTTTTCACTGGTCTTTTAAATGAGACTTTCTTGCTAATTTCAGATATTATTTTGGTGCTATATGAAATTTAATGATACGTTTCAACTGGCTATGAATGTAAGCAAAGTCATAAAAATATTTTAAGATGAGCAATTAAAAACTTTTTAAGTGCCTCAGGATGTGCTTTAAAAATTCGTTCCTTTGGTGGAAAATATCAGTCATTTAACATTGCATTGCCTGTAATAAAATCACCTCACCTTAAAAACAGAATAGTCTTGACAATAATATTTTGACATTTCTAGTGCTTGTGACTGGGAGATCAACTAAGGACAGGATCCCATTTTTCGGCTTCTGGTGATTGTTTATAAATGGGTTACTCTCAAACTCAACCTCAGATTACCTCTCCTCTGACCTTTTCTTTTTGGCTCTTAGAACTTTCTGCTGGTTGAACACTCTGAGGCCTGTAGTCCCACACTGTTATTTCCCCCTCATTTGTTTCATAGAGATTTTATCATGTCAGAAGTGACTTGAGAAACTGCAAGTCACTTCTGGTGTGAGAGAATTGGCCGTCTGCAGAGACATTTCTCAGGGGATGCCCGGATGCATTACCATCCTGTGGAAGGCTTCTCTCATGTCCCCACATGGAAAGCTGGAGCTGACAGATGGGACCTCACCCCATCTCATGGATTCGAACCACCAACTTTCAGGTCAGCAGTTCAGCTGGCACAAAGATTTAACTCATTGCGCCACCGCAGCTCTTCATACAGATGAGTCATTTAAAATATTGTGTTTATCCAAAGTTCATTCTTCTAACAAGGTTACTACCATGTGGCCAAATGTGCAGAAACATGTTGGTTTCTAGACCTCCCTATATGAATTCTGTTGAAAATAATGATAATTGGGGAACTGAAGTATAATTGGAAAGATGAGTGGGAAAGGATATAGGAGAGTCTTACTGGAATTGGACAGATACATCCTATCAGCAGATGTTTGTTTGTTTTTTTTTTTGCATCACTAGGTATCTTCCATGGCTTCAGACAAGGGCCTTTGTATCCATAGTATCAGTGTTTCTCTGTTGGACAAGGCCTGCAAGCTTTCAACTTTCTTTTTGAGCTTCTCAAAGTATTTTTGTGTTCCACCATCACACAGTGAAAGGCAGTTCTGGTTTGCTTCAGTCTGTGCACTAGGAGAGTATAACATTTCTGGTGAGGCCTGGCTCCATGTCTTGTTGCATGACTGCAAGTAAGAAAGAATGGTTTACATGAAAATCATATAGTTTGATAGCAAAGAGGATCAATCTTACATGTGCCTTTCCAGATGGATGACAACTCCCACTGACAATAAGATGGGACTGTGCAGCTATTCTGCCTTTCTCATCAAAATGGATTTTGCACATGGATCTGTATGATAAGAGATGAAAGATTAGGCACACAAATAAAGGAGGATCAATTCAATAAATGAGGCAGGATAATGGTGTGGTAAAGCCTTGTCAGGAACTGTTTTACCTATCCAGCCATTTAGTAGAGCTCCCCACTTTCAGTATGGTTTCAAACGTCAGAAAAGTTAAGAACAAATTTGGAGCCCATTACCTTCAGAGTTAAATTCAGGAATGGAATGTTGCCTGATGTCATTGTGGCACAATATGTACACAGTGGTTGATCATTGCTTATGGAAAGACTGTGTTCTGCTGCAGGGTGTAAAGTGTACAGAGCAATCCAACTGCAGGACTTGATTGGAAGGAAATTTTATTGAACTCAGTGAAATTTCCTTTGGAGCAGGCATGGCATTGCTACTATTTTCCTCTTCTGATACAGTTTTTATCCTTTTAAAAAGTGAAATAAAATCACAGCTTCAGACAACTCAAACTAGAGTTTTTGATGTCAGTATTTTGGAGTTTATGTCAATCCTCAATGAACCAACTGCTAGGAAAACATGAAAGCATTGCCTCAGTTATATATAAGTCTTGTTCAGGCAGCTGATGTCCACATACTGAATGTATGAATGGGCTTTCCAAAATGTGCTCAACCAGTTATGCTCTCTTGATACCAGTCAGCTTCAGTCTACGCAATGTGTTGTATATGTTCATAAACATTCATAAACATGGTCAGGGGTATGAGAAATATACAAATCTTGTCCTCCCCTCAAGCCACCAGTAGTGACAGCTGTGCTGCCACTTTTGCAATTTGGTAGCTGTTAACAAAATTCACCATCAACTGAGGTGATTTTCTGTGGGTGCACAAATATGCCAGGGCCCTCCTGCATCATACAACTTTGTAAATCGCTTTGAGTCCCCCTCGGGGTGAGAAAAGTGGTATACAAATACTGTAAATAACTGTAAATAAATAGATTTGCAGGGCAGGTCATGGCATTGGGGGGGGGGGGGGGGGAGGAGATAGCACCTCGTTTTTGTGATATCACCAAACTTCAGGTGTTTTGGACTTCACCTTCCAAAAGCCATGATCATAAACCAAGGCAGTTGAAGGTAGGAGCTGAAGTCCAAAATACCCTGAGGACTACAGTTTGGGAATCACTGTTCTAGACTTTAAAAGGACTATCTAAGGTGCTCAGCATTGTCCTGTCATGAAGAAGAGGATAATACTAGCCTAAATTTGTTGTTCATTCGTTCAGTCTCTTCCGACTCTTCATGACCTCATGGACCAGCCCACGCCAGAGCTCCCTGCTGGCTGTCATCACCCCCAGCTCCTTCAAGGTCAAGCTGGTCACTTCAAGGATACCATCCATCCATCTTGTCTTTGGTCGGCCCCTCTTCCTTTTTCCTTCCATTTTTCCCAACATAATTGTCTTCTCTAAGCTTTCTTGTCTTCTCATTATGTGGCCAAAGTACTTCATCTTTGCCTCTAATATCCTTCCCTTCAATGAGCAGTTGTGCTTTATTTCCTGAAGTATGGACTGGTTGGATCTTCTTGCGGTCTAAAGCACTCTCAGAACTTTCCTCCAGCACCACAATTCAAAAGCATCTATCTTCCTTTGCTCAGCCTTCCCTATGGTCCAGCTCTCACATCCTAGGTTGCTATGGGCAATACCATTACTTTTACTATGCAGATCTTTGTTGTAAATACAAAGTTGTAAATGTTACTAAGATATGTGTTGGAGTTTGTGCACATGAAGATAACCACTAGATACATCATGCTTATGATTGCTAGCTAATGAGAGGAAAACATGAGATTGTCTAAGGGTAGAACCAGAGAGTTAGTGTGCTATAATGATTTGAGCATTAGGCTATGACCGGAGGACCAGGGTTTAAATCCATGCTTGGCATGGAAACCTAATGGGTGAGTTTGGCAAGTCAAATTACACTCCCTCAGCTTTTGAAGGAGGTAAAGACAAACTCCACTCTGAACAAATCTTTCCATGATAGACTTGCCTTAGGGTTGTCATAAGTTGGAAACAGCTTGGAAATACAAAGCAAGAAATCTTCTTGTGTAGATGCTCAGAGGTTATCTAGTAGTGTGTCTCCCTGTCAAAGAGCCATTTTAACCAAGAAGCTGTGGAGCAACCTATTCAAGGAAATAATTCACTTGCACTATCTTTGATCTTCTTGAGTCTCCATACAAAGTGGTCATACTATCCTTTTTTTAATACTGGGGTCCAGTTCCCAAGAACATTCCTTGAAAATAAGTCACATTGATTTCAGTACTACGTACTATCTAGTGTCTTTGCTTGTAATCATAGTTTAATTGCGAATTGTGACTGTTGCTTTCTTGATTCAGAATACTTAGTGAGGCTGTTGGCGAGTTAAACTTTATTATTATTTAATTAATTTTCTCAATCATTACATTTGAGTGCAACTATATAGGCATTTTTGGCATTTTTGAGCAAACTGAAATGTATCTTTAGTAAACAAAAGCTGCTGCGTATTATTGGGGGAAAATGCAACATTTACTTCCTTTTCACCTATCAACATAGTACATCTTTAAAAGAATGATACAGTAACTTCCACATACAGAAGCCACCTAACAGTTAAATCTTTGCTCTGGTTGAATCCTGTTTCAGCACTGCTTGTAGGACAGCATCCTCCATTGCCCCTCAGGGCAGGGGTCTAGTGGGCTGCTGGCACCCATCCTTGTGCTGTTTGAGGCCCCTGTTCATTCTGCCACTAGCAGTACTTCCCATGCCTATCAATTGCATTCAGGAATAATTTGGGAATGCTGTGACATATTCTGCATGCGAGCTAAGAAATAGATCTGCTG